AGGCACAGATAGGTAAGGTTACTCAACAACCGAGCTACTAGCTAGCTAGTGACAACTTCTACCTAGCTACTAACAGCTCTGAACTCAAACAACAGCTTCAACTAATAGCTAGCTAATAGCTAAAGCTGACAGCTTAGGAATGAATCATTAAAGAGCTCTACTTCTAACTCTAACATAACTCTAATTCTACCCTTCAATCTAATTCCTAATTCCAATTCCGAGGTTGATTTCAATTTCAATTCTTACAACATAACTCACAACTTTATACATCAAAATATAATACAATACAATACCTAGTGCTTAAATCAAATAAATATTCTTCTTCCAAACCCCTCTTTTTTTTTTAAAAAAAATATTACTCTTATATTTTTATATCAAAATTTATTAATTTATAATAATTTTTATAATTCTTGATGATAAATTAATGTTACGAGGTTTGCCGTCTAGATCATGTGGAAGTGCTCTAGGCTCTCGAGGTGGTTTATAACTAGGCGTCAAACAGGGACTTAAAGTAATGACAATAATGCAATTCGTAACTAATAGTAGAGTATACTAAATGATTGATCTTGAGCACGAAGCTCTATACAACGGAAATCTATCTTGATTATATAGACCTTCGTGCCTCGTTAAAAAACCGATGGCTATAAACTGTGACGGAAAAGTCGTAAACGGAGTCAATTCAATTACTTAGAATCTAAAACTAAAGAACTAAGAAGATTCTAAGTAAGGAGGTCTTTATATACAGGGCTAGTGCACGTGAGCCACTAGTGGGATAACAACCGTCACGTAACATCACCCCCCCCTTCTGAAAAAGCTCGCCCTCGAGCTTTCATCCATCGCTTTATTGTCGGCTAGCTCATCATAATCATCCCTTCCTTCCTCATACATCTTAATCCACTCCATAAGTAGTGCTGGGGGGCCAAACTGAGTTGGGTGTGCTAGGTGAAATTCACGCAGCTTATGAGGTGCATACATAAAGTTTGAGGCAGGGTAGAATGTAGGATCCGGATCATGATTGAGCCAGGATACTCGATACCTTACTTGTTTGTGCCAGCTTCTAGACGCAAGTATATCGTCAACTTCCCACTCTTCTTCACCACTAATATTGATTGGGGGGCTAGGATCAGTGTGCTGGCCAGGAAGCGGGTCGTCAGCTGCTTTGCGGAGCTTTTCGGGCGGGAAGGTATCATGAATCTTCATTGAGCTAGGTAGCTCCAGCCGATAGGAATGACCTTTCTTTTCGAGAATCTTGAAGGGTCCTGAAACTGGGTTGTCTAGCTTTCTAGAGGGACGCTGAGTTGTGTAATACCGGGTATCCAACCAAACCTTGTTACCAACATCGAAATCGACTTCTCGACGATGCTTATTAGCTTGATTAGTCATTCGTTCCTGGGATAGAATGATTTGTCGACGAGCTAATGCTTGAGCATCGTGAAGACTTCGAGCTAATGAGCGAGCTTCTTCGATATTAATCTTGTCTTTAGGTTCGGTAGACTGTATTCGCCAATCCCATAGATCTCTAGGGGGAAATCCATGAACAACTTCGAAGGGGGTAAGGCCTCCAAGGGAATCATGTGGAAGAGTAAGTTGAGCATAATCCATCATAGGTAACAAATCTGACCAATTAGTTTGGTAGTAATCGACAAAGGGGCGTAGCCGTTGTGTCAAATACTGATTATAGATCTCTGTTTGGCCATCGGTTTGAGGATGATCAGTTGAACTGAGCTTGATCTGTGTTCCTAGAATAGTGTTGAACTCTTTCCAAAACGTTGAAATGAAGACGGAGCCTCGATCTGAGAGCATAGTAAGGGGAGGACCAAAGTAGCGATAAATGTGATATATATAAAGCTGAGCCATTTCCTTGGTGATGATTGTGTTCCTGCAGGGTATAGTAATAGCTTGTTTGCTGAAACGATCAATAATGACTAATATATTATCATATCCATGCTTATCCTTATTGAAGCTACAATAGTCCATCGTAACATGTTCCCAGGGACGAGTGGGGGCAGGGAGTGGATGAAGGAGTCCGGGGATCTTATCTCTTGGAACCTTAGAACGTCGACACATATGACAGTTGCGAATGTATTGCTTTACATAAGCGCTTATGCCTCGCCAATAGTAACGACGGCTTAACATAACGATCGTTTTGTTCACACTTGGGTGCGCTGTAAACACTTGATCATGCACTTCGCGAATAAGAAGAGTGCGCAGGTTGTCGGTGTCAGGGACGATTAATCGGTCCTGGTAGAGCAGTAATCCTTCATCGAGGGTGAAGTGAGGGTCACCTTTGCTTGCTTGAATACGAAGAGGTTGTAATGATTTTGAATTGCGATTTGCCTGAAGAACTCGTGCTACAATACTAAGGTCGGGAGCTATAGGTGCAAGATCGATAGCATCCACTAGCTTTTCGGAAGTAGTATCAAGGCGTAGTTCGTCTGTTAGGATACGAGGGTCAAACTGATTATCCTTTATGAGCTGTTGAAGACGATTGGCTTTCTTGGTGCGATTTTGATCATCGAGTTCGTTATCCCGCCTTGTAAGGGCATCAGCAAGAGGGTTATCCTTGCCAGGGCGGTATGCGATGATAAAGTTGTAGTCGGCCAAGAGCTCAGCCCATCGGGCTTGACGAGCATTGAGGGTCTTCGAAGTCATAAAGTATTCTAATGCTTTGTGATCAGTGAAAACGCGGATCTGGTGCGGGGTGCTAGTGAGCTCAGCACGCCAGTTCTTGAATCCTTTAATGATCGCTAGCATCTCCTTGTCATGAACCTCGTAGTTCAATTCAGCTGGTGCCATAGTTTTCGAATAATAGGCTACAGGCAACCAGTCTTCTCCGTGTTTCTGAGATAGCACACAAGCTACCACACCATCAGAAGCATCTGTTTCGAGCATGCATTCTAGTTCAGGATCGTAGTGTTGTAGAAGCGGTGCTGAGGTGAGTGCAGCCTTGAGTGTATCAAAAGCGTAAGCACAAGAGGAATCAAATCGAAAGGGTACATTCGCACGGGTTAAATCCACCAATGGTTTCGCAATAACACCATATCTTTTTATGAACCGGCGGTAAAAGTTACAAAATCCTAGAAAAGATTGTATTCCTCTTACTGTGGAGGGGTATTGCCAACTTCTTACAACGTCAACTTTCTCCGGATCTACCTCAATTCCTTCAGTAGAGATGATAAATCCGAGGTATTTCGTCTTAGTGATATTGAACTCGCATTTCTTGATATCAGCTTGAAGGCCAGCGTTACGCAAACGTTCAAGCACTAGCTTGACTTGATATTCATGCTCGAGAGGATCATTAGAGTAAATGAGAATATCATCAAGATATGCAGTACAAAAGATATCAAGGTAATCGAAAAGGACTTCGTTCATATAACGTTGATAAGTTGCAGGTCCGTTAGTTAAACCAAAAGGTAAGACTTTCATCTTGTATGCACCATATCGTGTACGGAAGGTGGTCAATTCCTCAGAGTCGGGGTCCATTCTGATGCGATGGAAAGCTTGTCGGATATCCAGCTTCGTGAAAATCTTAGCATGAGTGATCCTAGCCAGAGTTTCGTCGATAAGTGGCAAGGGATATCGATCTTTCCGAGTGAGGGCATTAAGGGTACGATAATCGATACAAAGACGTAATCCTCCATTAGGTTTCTTGACAAAAAGAATAGGAGCAGCGAAAGGGGCCTGGCTAGGCTCGATGAATCCTTTGTCCAAATTATCCAGTATATAGGCTTTAACAGCTTCCAGCTCATCAAGTGACATCTTATAAAGAGGGCTGTATTTGAGAGCTCTCTCACCATCTCCTTCGAGTATTATTTTGTGATCGTAGGAGCGGTGAGGGGGAAGAACATTGGATTCGGCTTTTGAGAATACATCAGCATAGTCGGCATATTGAGGAGGCACTGGTGGTTCATCATCGATCGAAGCTATCTGGAGGAGGGTAGCAGCAGCGAGCTTCCGATTATATTTAACTGAATCGAGAAGATCGTTAGTATCCTTCTCAGCTTGTTTTTCAGCAAGCAGTATATCAATCTCATATAAGCTAGTAGTGAATATTTCATCACTTAATTTGCGTTTAGCATAGAGATTGAAAGCAGGGCCTGAAATTGCAGCGATATCGATGAGGGGCGGAGTCACTCTTTTTCGTTTCAAGCAACTAGGGGTATATAAAGGTAACGGTGGTGGTTCTGAAGAGTCATTGTGTTTTGGGTGTAATGCTTGGTTCATGGCTTGTATGCGAATGGCAGTATCCTTTTGATGTGAATTGCCAAGGGAAGCTGGTATAGCTTCAGTGGCAACTGGAAGTGATTTAGAGTTTTCGCAACAAGTGATTTCGCCAAAAGCAATATGATTTTCGAGCTGTTGCTGGCGGCGGTGTTCGTATTTTCGATAGGCGGCGTCGATTCTACGGTCTCTAGCATACATATCGTTTTGATGTGCTATGTTGATCTGATTCGTTTTGATTTGAGCAGGATCAAGGTAGATTAAGCGACGGTAGCTAGGAGTAGGTGGGTAATTGGATGGCCAATCAAGGCGCCGATTGTAGCAATCAAGCTTAACACGATGTTCAGAGAGCCAGGTGCGTCCAAGGATAGCCTTGTGAGCACCTAAAGAAGTGATTAAAAAAGGAGTGTAGGATTGAATTCGATGGTCAATCACCAATGTGAAAATAACATAATGGGAAATAGGTTCTCCTTCTTGGCCATTATAGCCACGAACAGGAATAGACCTAGGGAGAGGTTTAATGAAATAGTGAAGCGCAGGGCGAAGAAAACGAAGAAAAGAACGATCGATAAAGGCATAGCCATTAGCTCCTGAGTCCATGAGTATAGGAGTTTGATAGGCAAGTCCATCCTTACAGAGGGTAGCTTTGATTGTCATGCTTTCACCTCCAAGGAGCTTGCTAAGATCCAAATATCTCATGTCTCGGATCTGGCCTAGAAAGGAGTCTTTCTCTAGGCGTCGTCTTTTGCTCTCGAGGGCTGTGGTTCGTCATCTTCAGAGGCTTCGTTGTCGGTGTGATCGATAGGGTTTAACTCATTAATACGAGGAGTATCTCTTCGTTCGAACTTTACATTCGGTTTCTCGCTATCTTGACGGATGCGGTGATTATCGGGATTATTACCTTTTGGATGACCACTGCGAGAAGGTATAAAGAGTTGAGAAGGTGGAGTATCAGGTTGTAGACGGTCGGTGTTGCGATTGCTACTAGATTGCTTAATTGGATGCTCTTCTTGATTATTCTTTTTTCCTTGGGATTTAGAATAGCGAACTGCCGGGGGATCGCGGTAAGCACCAAAACTTTTACCAGTTGTAACTTCTTGGGAACGAAACTCTTGATCGAAATGAGTTAGGGAATCGACATAATCTTGCAGAGAGGTTGTCTTCCGGTAATCATTAGCGGCGAAAGAGCGAAGGCGGAGGGGGACTTTCCTCCGTAAATCAATACGAAGAGTTTTCTCATCATGAATCTGAGCTTGGCTAGCCAGAGATCGGAACTGATGGTAAAACGTCCGAAATTCTTCATGCTTAGTCATTGCCAGCTCTTGATACTTATCATTCGCTTTTTCGGCTTTTGAGGGGTCGGAAAGGAAATTGACGACCAGGTCAATTAACTCTTCTGCAGTTGCAGCTAGATCTCGAAGCCAATAAGGCTCCAAGAAAGTACGGGCGGTTCCTTCCACGTTGTCCATAACATATGCCATTCGGATCAGTTCGGAATTGAATGCATAGTTGTATTGCTGGAAGCGAACTTCAATATTCTTTCGCCATAACTCCGGTGAGATATCTGGCTCCACTCCTGTATTTAGCTTTGCAGATAAAAGTGGGATCTTGTCGGGTCTTGTAGAAGCGATCGACGAAACAGGGGTACTAAAACGATTGTCTGCAACAGGTGGTGCAGATGCGAAAGAAACGTTCCTACCCAAAGGCGGGGCAGAACTCTCCGGATTGGTAGATTCTCTTTCGATGCTTGGAATCGTATGACTTGGGGATGCACCTTGCTGTAGTAATGGCCGATTTCGGGCTTCTCTTTCCTTGACTGCCTCAAATTCTTGTATAATCTCCGCACGGAGGCGTGCTTCCAATTCATCTCTCATCAGCTGGTATTGCGGATGTTCGTGTAGATCCGATAGTTGAGAAGATGGCGACGCAGCGGTCTTTTGGATCTTCGAAACCGGAGTTCTTTTTGGAGGCATATTGCTGTACTCGAAAGGTTCCGATAATCGCGTAGTTGGTGAGCTCCTCTCAGAATCAGTGGTAGAAGAAGTAGGTTCCTCGGCGTCAACTTGAATAGTAGAACGAAGAAATCGTGGGGTCCTAATTAAAGGGTCACGAGAGGTAGTAGAAAGATTTTGCGTAAAAGGGTTTTCAGTCTTCTTAGGCGACTGTCTTGTATTTACCATTCTTCAGCGGTATCGAATGCCACTGGAATAGGTCTTCTCTATAAGTCGGAAACGATGATTTTATCCAACAGAGGTATTAAGAATGTGGATATTGTTCAAGAGGCCGTCGCCGGCTGTAGGAATAAATGAGTTTTAGATAATGTGACGGAAAAGTCGTAAACGGAGTCAATTCAATTACTTAGAATCTAAAACTAAAGAACTAAGAAGATTCTAAGTAAGGAGGTCTTTATATACAGGGCTAGTGCACGTGAGCCACTAGTGGGATAACAACCGTCACGTAACATAAACCCGACAATTCGATCACCGCAAAACCGATCTCGATTTGTCGGTTTCTTGATCATGTGATCAAGAACGTGACCTATGTTACTGTCCGACGTAACAATTAATATGAAAAAATATAATTAAAAATATAATTAAATCTTTAAATATAAAAGTTTATTATATAATTATTCTTAATAAAGATTTATAAATTTAAAATCTTTTAATTTTAATTTAATTTAATTTAATATATATAAAATTTATAATAAAATTTATATATTCTTTTTACTTATATTTAATACTTTTAAATTTATATAATATATATAATTTAAAATTTAAAATTATTATCATTAAGAAAGTATATAAATATGAATATAAATATTCAAAGTGGTAAAAACTCAAGATAAAAAATTAAAAAATAAAGATCAAAATTCTTCTTCTCAGACTCTTTTATACTTTCTTTTACTTTGCTTTACACACTAGCTGACTGGACTTGATCACTTTCAAATTGTGATCAAAAGGGTGTTTATAGACCAGCAATTGTATTTAACTTAGAATCTACAGGTGAAGAGCACCTGTAGATGGGGATAGCTACTCTATATATACACAAATGAATGGCCTAGCCGCAATGGCTAGGCAAAAAGAAGTCATATTTATTCCTCCAATGATCTTACTTTACCGATAACCATTGATACCTAGTACTTGTCTGGATCTGATCCTTAGGTCACCTAAATCGCATACTAATCTCGAGTAATCGTATCATGTGTGGACATGGTTAATGTACCTGAGGTTTCTTATATAATAAGGGTGGGAGGAAAGCAGGGATTTCCGTCACACAAATAATATAATATAATGTAATTAATTCCTTTTCCTTTCCGTTCCTTTCAGTATCTACCTATGTAGCTAATATATAATCGAATCATCTATTTCCTGTTATCAATCTCCTATCTGATATCTTATATCCTTAATTCCCATCATTATATAATGTAATGCTATACGCTGCAATACAATACAATCCAATACACAAACACAAAACGCAATATACCAATATACTAATCCCATTCATCTAACATATATGTATAAGCATATACGCATATGAGTGTATACAAAAAAGCACCTTTTCCCTTTCCCAACCAAACATAACACTCTCCCACCCACCCATCAAAGTAAAATAAACACTCCCCCTCCCCTCTTTCCTCAACAATCTATCCTAAAAATTCGCCGAAACATTCCCTCTACCCGGTTGATGATAATTCTCCAAGGTAGTCTGAAAAGGATTCGGCACAGCACCACCTTCATTCTTAATTTCATGACCCGCAGAAACCGGATCATAACCACCCATCAAACCATCATTCTCATCTTCCTTCTTTGTTCGACCCCAGACTCTCCACGCGACGATGAATAAACCTCCAAGAAGGATTGCTCCGCCGATTCCGACGACTACTCCGATGATTGTGTTTCGGGTTTTGGTGGACATGGATGAGGAGGATGAGGAGGATCCGACGGGTGTGAGGATGGCGGTTGTAGTGGCGTAGGCGGAGGGCGTAGAGGACGTCGTGTATTGAGATGTGAATGTACTTCCGCTTGCGGTAGTGACGACGGTTACGACGACGGGGGTGGCTGGGGGAGTGATGGTGATGCGGGAATAGGAGGTTGATTGGGATGTTGTAGTTTCGGATGTAGTAGTCTTGCTGGTTTTGCTAGTCTTGGTAGTGGCGCTAGATGTTGAAGTCGCAGTTGTTTTAGTTGTTTGATCATCTTTGGTAGTCTCAGCAGCAGTTGTTTGATCTGCTGCGGTTGTAGTTGATGATGACTCGGGGACGACTACTGGAGTTGATGCTGTAGTTTTCGTTGGTGTGGTTGTAGGTGCAGTAGTTGTGGTTGAAGTTGGAGTTGTGGGGGCCGGGGTTGGTGTAGTTGTTGTGGAAGTATCTTTAGTCTCTTTGCTAGTTGCTGCTGACGTCGTTGAAGTCGTAGATTTTGATGTTGTTGCTGCTGCTGCGGTTGTAGTATCTGAATCTGCGCCGCTCCCTGCAGTAGTTGTGGCAGCACTACTTCCTCCTGCTCCTCCTGCTCCAGCTGCCGCTGTGCCCACGGCAGCAGAACTCACATCTGTTTGTCTAATAAAGATAGCACGATCAATCCAAGTTGCTTGAGTGATGGCGAATATTATTGTCAATATTGACAATAACTTCAATGACTGGGAATACATGGTTAAAGATAATCGATCGTTATTCCCAGGTAATAGAAAACGAAAGATTTTTGTTTAAAGAGATCGAGGAGGGAAAGTCGTCTTGTGATCAGTTTCAGTGCTATGTATTTGTTCCGTTCGTATCCGAAGTGTTAGTGATTGATTGATTGAATGATGACTTGGTGAAGGAAGTGAGTGAATTTGTCACAAATAGATGAATGGTCTCAAACTTTGATTTTGGAATCAGTTTGAGGGAATGGAAGTGTGAGAGTATGAATGTGAGTGTGAATCTGAATCTGATTGTGATTTAATGTTGGTTATTTCGTAAAATAGAAAATAATCTTATTATTTAGATTATTGATTGATTGAGTCTTAACGAAAGTAGAAAGTACAGTAGGAATGGATTCAATTCATGAAACGAGAGATGTGAAAAGAGAAAAAGGATAATTTGATGATGGATGGATGGATGGATAGAAAGTGTTTTGTTTCCTTGACCAGGAGAAGAGAGAAAGGGTTCATGGCTCAAGGCTCAAGGCAAAAAAGCAAGACATTACTTACATACAGATCAATGGATTCGAGAACAAACCAAAATTTAATGTGGAGAAATAAATTTTTATTACGGAGTACAAAGTAAGGCGAAGGACGAAAGGCGGTTTTGAATGTGGCACTGTGGATAAATTTGATTTGACAGAGGAAAATCATTTGATTGTGTTACGTTACTCCTCCGTAATACCAAAATTATAAGGATGGATCTATCTTTGGTAATACGGAGTTTTTCTCAATTACCGAAGTAATTAATGCTGTAGTTATGGATGGGTGTGTATATATTATATAGTTTGTAAAAAGGTATAAAATAGGTCTTGTATTACCGAGTAACGCTGTAACTTGTATTAGAGTATTGATAATTCCAATATTTAGATACTGATTTTAGCATTTAGACTTACTCTGTACTCTGTAAATAGGAGGTAAGTAATAAGTTTACTGGTTGTAGATTGTAAGTTGTAAATTATATAATTATTATACAATTATACAATTATACACACCTTGAATAATACTACCACCTTGAATAATACCAACATAACCTGAAATTACAGGCTTCAAGGTTTCCCTCAAAACCCGGCCGTTCCTTTCCTTCCCAACCAGGTAATTATCTCATATGACCTCGGGATTGACAGACCTAATTTCTAATTTTAGCATTTTCTTTCTTTTCTTTCCGTCTCAGTTCGCTTCATCCCAAGGAGTAAAGGAAGTATGTACGGTAATGATAATCCCTTCATCATTTGATAGGTACACTAGTATTCAAGTGTCAGATGTCAGCTGCAGATATCAATCAAATTATTCATCCATCAATGATAAAATAATCATCATATCCAACATCCTACACTCAACATTATATACATACATACATACATACATACATCTCACTTTTCTACTTCCTACTCCCTACCCCTTCCTCACCATTTAAACCATCCCCTCATCCTCATCCTTATTCTCATCCTTATTCTCATCCTCATCCTCATCCCATCAATCCCAAACTCACATCTCCCAATCCCCAAGATCATCAGCCTCGTATTCTCAATAACCCAAGTAACCCAAGTAACCCAACAAATACAAGTATAACCCTCAAGCCTCAAGCCTCCAACCTCCAACCTCACACTTCCCTATACATCCCATCCCATCCCGTGCATACCTACATACACACAAGAAAACAAACCGTTTAAATTTCTTGGCCCACACAACAAATCAACCATCAATCGTCACACAATCAATTAATCAGCGAATCAATCAATCAATTATTTGTATTTCCACAAAATTAACCTTTCACCTTTTACCTTTTATTTTTTATTCCGTCGTTACCGTCATGATCACTCTTTATAGAGTAAGAGTACGCTGGTATTAACCTTATATGAATATTTCTTGGAAATTGAAAATATCAACAATACCTAGTGAAAAGCATATGAATGAATTGATACACATCACATCTTTCGAATTTCTCATTAGTGAATCCATTGTGTATACATGATACACAATACATACACAACCACTACAAATTTAATACGTCGACAATAGCCCTACATATCCACCTAATCACGG